AGTGGGAAGTTGATAGAAAAATATTTGTATAATACTATATATTTAAAGGACCTACTTATTATTTATTATTTAAGATAAGATTGTGATCTCAACAATCTAACTATAAATTAATATTTATATTTATAAAAAATTTCATTTATCATTTAAATTCTTCAGCCGAGTATGTATTCAATACAGATCAATTTATCCCTTCAAGTCTCCATACTTTGTATACATATCACATAACAATTTAAGAATACTCATAATTACAGTAGTAACAGTTGTTGAACAATCATATGTCACGTGCAACATATATGCCCGATGACTAATAAAAGTAAAAACACAATATGTAACGGCCCCAAAATGCGTGTCACAAGGATCGTTATGTAATTATGAATTAATAGGATTTAATTTGGAAATATTTGTTTGAATTGGGAAAATATCTGTTGGGGCTATGACTTCAGAACTGAAATTGACGACCTTAATGGGTTCATAAACCGAAATTGAGTACATGGATATACTAATAGGAATTTATAGCATCATTTGAAAAGTTTAATTAAAAATTGATTTCACCTAATTCGTTAAGCTGTGTTTGGCTCATCATTTATACAATTATATGTGTATATATGAGATAAGAGCTCATATGAGCTCATCCTTATCAACTAAAAGCCCAAAATATCTTAAGAAAGATGGAGAGAATTCTTGAAAAAAACAAGAGAAAGGAAGAAAGGAAGAAAGAAAGAGAGAAACCAAGAAGAATGTGTAGAAATTGAAGAAGAAACTTAAGATCAAGCCTGTATTCAACAAGATTATGCAAGATTAAATAGCTATGAATGCCCTAGGTAAGAATCTAACTCTCAATTCTTGAAGATTAAGTGTTATGGAGTTGGATTTATGGATTATGTGTGAGTTTTGCATGTATTTTGCTATAAAATGTTAAGAACATGTTATACCCTCATGCATGGCATAGATTCATGAAAATCATGTTCATAAATTTGTTTTTGTTGCATGATTCTTAAGATTTTAAAATAAACTCCATGGATTTCAAAGATTGGAGCTCAATTTGCATAAATGATGATTTTGTATTTCAACTCAAGGGTTTGAATGTTTTGTATGAAATTTAAGCTCCACTTTGTAGTTATAATTTTGTTTCAAACTGGATATGTTACATTCAATATGTTTGTGAAGAGTTTGCATGATTTCCATGATATGAAGTTGAATTTGGCAAAGGAAAAAGGGTCCATGTTTTTAGTATTTTTGTTCTAAAATTTTACCCAAACTGTTCAAGCCGCCCAAGCTACAGCTCAAGCGACCAAGCCTTGATCGCCCAAAATTGCATACTATTTTCTGCCGCACGTGCGGCCAACAAGGTAGTTTTTTTGTTTTGATTTATTTCTATTTTTTCAACTTCCTAGCCCTGTTTACATGGTTTTCAAGTGCATTTCATATGCATTTCATGATCATATAGGAAGTTAGAACGAATTGGATTAACCGACTGAATAAGTAACAACTAAATACGTTTAAGGACTGATGGACCGATTGCGTGTGTAATGCTAAGATTTGTATTGTGCTATGCATATTTGTGATTGTAGGTCATAAGTCGATGACCGACTGACTGTTTCTAGAAACACATTGTGAGTAACATTTCTGTAAAGATATATTGATATGCACTATACTTGAAATGTTATACGAAATGCTATATGATATGATATGTTTCTGAGATGTGACTTTGATTCTGTGAACGAATATCCTGGTTTGCGAATCTAGTATGGCGTCCAAGGATAGTCCCAAGTCATGAGGAACGGCACGTTAGTGCGGGTCTATAACATATATATGATTACGAGATCTCGTTAGCTACTTCATTGTGGTGATATGTGTTTAATTGGTGTTCGGGACTGATTACTCTAGTCGGAAGATGTTGCGAAATATTCCTTTGGATGTACCATTATTATACTCTGATATGAGACTAATATGATAGATATGTATAATCGATTTTCTGTATATGATATGATTTGGAATTTGTTCACTAACCTCTTTACTTTAATGTTATTCACTGGGCTTTAACTCACTGTTTGTGTGTATATATATATATATGTAAATGTGAGCGTATTGGAGATCAAAGCTAGATGGGTTCCTTTCGCTGAGCCACTTGTTGAAGCTCTATTGAGTTTTTGGTGCATCCGAGTTGAGGCTAGGTCAAGAAGACCGTTGTATAGTTTGTGATCCTATTGTCGGGCGTTTGTTATATGTACATGAATGATATTTTTGTTTCTAATATTATGTGTTGTTCAGTGGATAAATTAATATTATATGCATCTGAGTTTGTTCGTATAGATTCACAGTTTAATGGATTATTTGTTGTATTTATGTTATAAGCTTCCGTTATCCCCGATTATTTTGCTTTGTACAAGAAAGCCTTTGGTAATCACATACGTGGCGGGGTTCGGGTCATGACACAATATGAGATACATTCTATTAAATTTAATATATTTTTATTAAATTAAAAACTTATTTTTTTAACTTAGTCAATGTAATGGGATTTGGGATGGCTGTTATGCGGGGTGCACAACAGTCACTATTGTGCAACTCAATGGGCCAATTTCGGAGGCAATTTCGATAATTCAAACCGTTCACATTTTAGAATACATCAAGTTAAACATACATGCAAAAAATCAAGTTAATCGGAGGTATGTTCTACATAATGAAAGGGTAAACGATATCCGATTAACTTAATTTTTTATAGGTATATTCTATTTGATATATTCTAAAATATGAACGGTTCAAATTATCAAAATTGACCCGTTGAACTGCACAATAGTAACTATTGTGCACCCAACAGCCATCCCAAATCCAGTGTAATGGGCCTTGTTAATTTTTCCTTTATGGCACATGTTATGTTATGGCTTAAAGAAATTGCACATTATTATTACACGTGCTTTCGTGTAAAATATATAATTTAAAAAAAAAATAACATATGGACTAAAAATACACGTTAACAAATCCAAGGGATACTAGAATAAAAGTCTTTCTACACTACAAGAAAAGAGCCCAAATAACACGGAATTTTTTGCGACGGTATAGGTATCGTCGCAAAAAATGGTCTTTTGCGACGGCATTTTCAGGCCGTCTCAAAAAATGGTTTTTTGCGACGGCATTTTCAAACCGTCTCAAAAAATAGTCTTTTGCAACGGTAGTGATCCCGTCGCTAATGAATATATCACAAAAAAACATAAAACATTTGTGACGCCTGATGTACCGTCGCAAAAAAAAAAAATTGAGACGGGAATATTTACTGTCGCAAAAGTCTTGTTAAAACGACGTCGTTTTAACTGTTAGGATTCAACATTTGCGACGGTTTAAGTACGTTGTCGCAAAAAGTAATGAAAATTTTTCAATCCCGCTTATTTTAGCCTATTCGCGGTCATGTGTTTCCCCAAAATCCCTAAAATCTTTAAAACCAAAATCCCCAAAACCATTTGGAACAAAATCCCCAAAGCCCTTGAGCCAAAATTCAACGACGGTGACGGACGACGGTGATCGACGACGGCTAGCAGCGAGGGAGCAGCGAGTGACGACGGTCATCAACGACGACGACGAGCAGCGAGTGACGACTGTATGCCCCCCCTTTCTCTCTCTCTAATTACATCCAAAGCCCTCTCATTTTTTTGAATATATGTTTTTTCTCCATTGTTGTTTGGGGGTGTCATTGGTTTGAAACTGTGCCTAGAGGTGACCAGGTCTTCTTTCTTTTCCTCTCTTGATTTTCTGTTTCCATTCCCGTTACAGGTCTTCTTTCTTTTCCTCTCTTGATTTTCTGTTTCCGTTTTTGTTTTCTGATGTTGATTGCAATGCATGTGTTCTGTGTCTGTATGTCACTCAAATGCTTTGTTAATTTCCATGATTTTCTTCACATTTTGGTTTCCTTTTTTCACCTTCCAGATGTTGATGTTATTGCCGTTTGCTTATTTTTTTGTTTATGGATCTTGTGATGCATTCAATTATTTTTTTTAAAATTTTGTATTTCTTTTTTGTGTTGTTTGATTTTTGACATCTACACTAAGTATGGCGTTGGGTTTATATAATAGTTAGATAGTTAGATAGATAGTTAGATATAATCAAATAATCAATGCAATTAAGAGGAAGTAGTAGAGAACATAATGCTTCAACTGTTTTTTGTGGTGATTGGTAGCAAGAGAGTGAAATTTATTCGAATTTTAATATTGAAAAACCTTCAATGACAATACCTGAATAAATCACGACTGATTCTTGGTTGGAATGCTAGAATTTCGCTATTCCAAGAAAGTATTTTTTGTGAAATAGGATTCTGTCAATACTACTGATTTTTTTTCTGGTGGTTTTGTATAGTTGGGTCTTAGGAAGTGTGGTTCTAGACTTATTTTCTTTTGTGGATTTTATTGATTCTTTACATGTCTAAATATAGGTTGGAGTGGGGCTGGTTGTGGCTGTGTTTGTAGCATCATCTTGATGCTCTTTTTCTAATAAAATGGTTACTCTTTAATTATCAAAAAAAAAAAGAAAGAAAGAAAGAACTGAAGCATAAAGTTCCATTTCTGATCAATGTGTCAGATTGACAGAATAATCTACGTTTATGTTGCTGGTGGTCTTGGTACAATAATTCTTTGCACTAATTAAATTTGAATCATCACTAGAGCATATGGCTAAAGTGATTTGTCGAATAATACTGACATTGGCTGTGTGTAAATGCCATTGACAGTGCTGAATAGCACCTAGAAAGGAGTCAACCTGCCACTTTTGACTCGAGTTTTTTTTTGTTTTGTTTTGTTTTGTGTGTTTAATTCTTGTCCTTGAGAACAAGTAATGGAACGACAGAGAACAAAAATTGTTACAATGCAAGAGATGAGGACTTAGACTTTATTCTATGTTCCCCTCTCTCTCTCTCTCTACATATATATATATATATATCGCGATGTTGTTGACTAGTTTTTTTTATAATACTGCTTAAGTACCCTAGTAATAAAATAAAGTCAGTAGTATTGACATTCTTTTCTTCAATTCGCAATTGACACAGTTCAATTTTTATTTAATTAGTGATGAACCCTAAATTTGGTCAATGCTTATAAATTGTTTTATTGTTTCGTGCATGATTGCTAACTGATATTTTGTAAGGAAATGGCACCTGAAGGTTTGTTTCCTGGTGAAGGTCAAAGGGGAGCTGTTGGTGACTATAACAATCTTAAATACCCAAAACTTGGAGATATACTAGATTATATTATTATACAGCAGCCAGCATTACTAGAGGCCATAGAAATGAGGGAGGCAAAGCTTCTTTTCCCTTCAAAAACATATGTGGCTATGATCAAATTTCTGTTGAAATGCTTTGAGGCAGATACAGAACAATACAGGACAGTAGAAAGAATTCTGGAGTATTGGCCTTCAGTGGAGAATATGTGTTTGCTACTGGAACATGCTATGGCATATGAAGGCTCTGTTGAGTTGCATTCAAATGCCTCCAAGGCACTAATCACAATTGGAACTTATTTTCAAGAGGTTATTTCAGGGATTTCTTTTGCTTTCTTGTTTAGTTTGTATCTCCTAGTTGTGTCTTCCTTTTTAATGAATCATTTTCATCTAGATGATAGCATCACGCTATGCCATGAAAATTTCATGGTTAAAGCAATTTTTGGGTCACATGGATTTCGATACCTGTGAAGCTAGTTGTGTCTTCCTTTTCAATTTTTGCACTTTCTACTGTAGTCAATTTGTGTAAGAAACTTCCTTCTGAATGTCCTGCACCTTTAATGGAGGCAGTTCCAATATTGTGTAAACTTCTTCAGTATGAGGATCGGTAGGTTTGTATCATGCTTTTGTGTGTGCGGGTTATCTTGTCACTGGAATATTTGATCTTATGATTTTTTTAACATTTTCTTGTTTTTCCATGTCATTCTCAACTTGTTGAAAATGTAGCCACTTGCTTGATAAAGATAGCAGAAGGAGCACGCCACACGTCTGATATGTTGGACGAACTTTGTAAACATGGGCTGATTCATCAAGCTACATATCTAATAGACTTGAATTGTCGAACCATCTTGTGCCAACCAGTTTACACCGTATGCAGTCTATTTATGTTTTGTGTGATGGTTGTCGTCTGAAACATACGATATTATTAAGTATCACAATAGTGCTTATGGACGTAAGGTGTAAATGGAACAATTGTTTCTATAATAAAGATAGCAGAAGGAGCATGCCACACGTCTGATATGTTGGACGAACTTTGTAAACATGGGCTGATTCATCAAGCTACACATCTGATAGACTTGAATTGTCGAACCATCTTGTGCCAACCAGTTTACACCGTATGCAGTCTATTTATGTTTTGTGTGATGGTTGTCGTCTGAAACATACGATATTATTAAGTATCACAATAGTGCTTATGGACGTAAGGTGTAAATGGAACAATTGTTTCTATAATGGGATCAAACAAGTGTAATCATAGTTGGTTTAGTTTGCTGGCTTGAAGTCGGCAGGTTTGACAATGGCAAATACTTGTGGAGGCATTATGCATTCTGTTTAAACTCTAACTGAACTCTACCTCTTTCTGAAAATATAACTTGGACCAGCAAATCCATTTTGACTTGCTATGAGTCCTGTTTACTCCAATTGAAGTCTTATGCATTCTGTTTAAACTCTGATTGAACTCTACCCCTTTCTGAAAATATAACTTGGACCAGCATTTTCATTTTGACTTGCTATGCGTCCTGTTCGACTCCAATTGAAATTTCTCTTTCTGAAATTGCACTAGTCTGCCACTATAGTTGAACCACAAATCCTACATTAGAGATTAGAATTTGGACAATATGACTTGTGTATGATACGAATACGAGTATGATGATACGACAAAACCTAAAAAATAAGATTTGTGCTTGTAAAAACTATATATATTTTTTTTATATATATAATAGTTCAAATACATGACCTAGAATATCTGAATAGTATCCAGTACTTCTTAAAATTAAAAAAAAAAATAACTGTGGATAGGATTATGAAATATTGGATAAGTAATTGTGAATATTTGAGGAGTATTGGTATTCAATACAAATATAACTCCCTTCTAGAAGTATTCGTGTTTCATAGTTTTTAATTCTATATGCCCATCAGTTTTTCTGGGAACCTACTTTAGAATTTAAAAAATAGAATCTCAATTGCTCTTCAAGTCATAACCCTTTATTGCTTGGGGTGCAACCTTTGATGGTGCAATTAATTTTCAAGAATATTTTCTTTTATAAGTAAATAAATAGAATCTAGAGACAACTTTTTTTCGTAACAAGGATAATATCATAGAAGCTATATTAAATGGACTCCTGTGTGGGTTATGTTACTAATTTGCATGTCCACACAAAGACACCGCAAAATGTTCATATTTTTGGTATTCCTCTTTTATTTTCTAAAGTGAAAACAGTTTTTATAATGTGACAAATAGAATTTCATGCATAATAAGGGGGTTTTATACATAGTTATATGGTAAACCTGAGTTACTAGACATGCTTGCTCAATGAATGTCCAACTACACGTGTTAGTACACATGTTAGTCATATATAGCATACACTTCGGTTTGACACAGTACTCCCAGAAATACCCTTCTTGAGTATTTTTTTTTACCCGAGATTTGTATGTTTGCATCAAAAGGCTAAAAAATAATGATACATTAGAAGCAAAGAAGCTTCATTATGACCTTTAAAGCTTTTTGTTTCATTATAAAGTTTGAGTTTACATAATTTTTTATACGTATGATACTAAAAGAAACAAAAAGATGCACAGTATTTCACTTTCACTTTCATCTACTTTGAGGTCACTATTGCAGTATTTCACTTTCATCTATATTCATGAATGAACTTTTGCTATCACCTCATTTTATGTCAAAAAATTCAATGTGATAGTTGTGCGTAGTTGACTCCAAACACTTGCATCAACTTTGGTTGAATTGTACATCAAGTTAAGTCTTTTTACATGAACTTCAGCAAGAATTGGCCTTTTCTGTAAACAACAATTGTCCCAAAGGTAAAACAAAGCAGAACATAATTCCATAACTTTCCTCTTCTAAATAGTTAAAACAATATGAAGCGAGACGAAAAAATTGAGAGAGTTGTAGAAGGGTAAATTGGGAGAAGATGGGACTCCAATCGGGTCTCCGGTTTGGGAGTTAGGGCCGGATTTCTGTCTAGCCAAAATTATTTACTAAACTATCTTTGTAATTATATAGTAGTTAATTTTTTATGTTTTTCTGTAATTAAAATATTAACACCGTTATATTGTTATTAATTATTTTATTTTGTTTTTTTCAGATATTTCCTTAGTAGCAGTTTGCTTCTTGTGGAATGCGGGCGTATAAAGATTTTGACGAACTTTTATTTTTTTAACCCACGAAAGAATCAAGACGAAAACTTTTGGTTTTGATTTTGATTTATGTTATTTAAATTTGTGAACAACATTATGTATGTATTATGCGACATTATGTAGTGGCATAATTTTTATTGTTATGAATTTTTATTTATGTATTGTTATGAATGGAACAACATTATGAATGTTCATCATGTGCCAACACAGGTTTTTTTTTTTTTTTTTGAGACGGCAGCACACACACTGTCTCAAAAAGAAAAATAGAACCAGGGTTTTTTGCGACGGCAGTAATGCTGTCGCAAAAGACAGGGAAATTGGTCGAAAAGGAAGACTTTTAGCGACGGTATTATTTGCCGTCGCCAATAGTGCTTTAGCGACGGCATCAGGTGCTGTCTCAAATAACCTTTTAGCGACGGTATTTGTGCCGTCGCAAATAACTATTTTAGCGACGGCAAGACAATGCCGTCTCAAAAAAATTCAGATTTTCACATGTTAATGCCAACAACATTTTTCCGTCGCAAAAAGGCATTTTTGCCGTCGCAAAAAAAAGGCGACGGCGTTATACCGTCGCTAAAACCCTTTTGCAACCCCCTTTGTTGCGACCCCCCACTTACCGTCACAAAAGGCCAGTTACCGTCGCAAAAAACTTTTTGAGACGGCGTTTTGAGTATTTGCGACGGCATTTTACCGTCGCAAAAAAGCAATTTTTTTGTAGTGCTAATACATGCTTATGGGGCATTTTATTAGTATTAAAATTTTGGTAAAAAAATATTTTGAGACATCTTTTGGCAATCCCTTTAAAATCAGTTTATTGGTTAAAAAATTTTATTTTCTAATTTTTTTGAGGAATAAATTACACTTTGCCCTCTTTATATTTGACCAATACTTTGGCCCTTAAAATTTATTTTTTTTCCATTTTGACCCTTTATAGCAACTCCAATAGTAAGACATTAGAGCTACTATTGCTATAAAATAGTATGGAGTTCCCTTTTTTCATCTCCAACGATGAACTAACAGAGCTGCTAAATTATACCTTTACTATATCTTCTGTAAAATTTGACACTATTTTTACCTATAGTTAAAGTTGTTAGCGCAACAATTTTGGGAAGCTAGTGGTTGATTGGGTGGATGATCGAGTGATCAACAACTTGGTGAAAGTTGTAGAAAGTGCTAAGCTTTAAAATTTTGAAGTCCACCAATTGTCTGATTAAGTTAAAATATAGCAATTTTACCGTTGGAGTAACATTATTCTTCAATAACTTTTATGTATTGTTCATTGCTAAATTATAGCTTTAGTTATCATTTTTACCAATTGACCGTTGGAGTTACTTTAATGTTTCGAGTTTTTTTCAATTTACTTCTAAAACTAACTTATGTTTAAAATTAGATAGAAAATGCCATAATAATTGTCACATAATATAAAAAATATATTATTATATTGTTGTTTAAGTTTATATCAGACATGTGAATTATATATAAGAAAATATTTTTCTGTTTAATTTTTAACATAAATTAGCTTTAGGAGTAAATTAAGCAAAACTTAAAATATGAAAGGTCAAAGTGGGAGAAAATAAATTTTAAGAGCCAAAATGAGAGAGTAACTAAACATAAAGGGAACCAAGTGTAATTTATCCTTTTTTTGAAGGTTATTTGGGCATATCTATTTCTCACCAGAGTAATTTTAGACCAGTGTAATTTTAGACACTCTAAAAAAAATTAGAAAAGTTATTGAAAAAAACAAAAACAAATTAAGAATATGTCAAATAATCTAACGTTTTTAAAAAAACTGAGAATACTCCCCCAAAACGAAAATGATGAAAAGTTTTTTTAAAAAATAAAAATAAATTCAAGGGTAAATCATAAATATACTCTTTGACATTTATTTAAAATAAGATTTACCCTATGTGATTTTGGAAATTATATCACGCCCATTGAAGTTTTCTATTTCATAACAAATAACTTATTTTATTAATAAATCATCAAGCAAACCCACTGGTGGGTGGCATTGTGGTTAAGACTTGGGGTTCAAGCCCCAAGGTCACAAGTTCAATTCCCCTCTCCCCCAGGCCAATCTCCTGGGTGAAGCACAACTTGTGTGATGGTAGGAAAGATTTTCCTGTAACTAAAAATTTAATGATGTCAGAAATTTATTTCAATTAATAATTTAGATAATCTTATCATTGTATGAGAGAGCAGTTAGAAATTTTATTTTTCAGTTATTCTATTAAACAAAAATTCTGACATGGGATATTTATAATTTTTTAAATCATGGGGAGTAATTCATATTTTAAGCAAATCTCAAAATGTGTATTTGTAATTTACTCTAAATTGAATTAAAAGCATTTAAAATTGATAATAATAATAAAAAATTGTCTTTTGTTTTTTATTTTATTTTTTTGTGCCTAAAAATACTTGTTAGCAAGATTATTTATTGATCAC